AAGTTTTGCTAAATCAAAACTTTTCTGGGCACCTGGGTGGCTTAGATGGTTAAGCATCTGCCTTCAGCTTGGGTCATGATCTCAGGGTGCTGGGATCAAGTCCCGCTTTGGGCTCCCTGCTCGGCGGGAAGTCTGCTTTTCCCTCTCCCTCTTCCCCTGCTCATGCTCTCTCTCTGTCTCAAATGAATAAATAAAATCTTTGAAAAAAAAAAAAACATTTCTTTCTATTCCCATCATTTGAGTCTACTAAGATCTCTTTCCAGAATCACAGTCAATCTAGCAATGCTCCCACCAAATAGCATTTCAGCTCCTCCCTCTCCCCTCTAGCTCACCTTCTACAGGGCTTTGGGTCATTTCTTTAAGAGCTCTGATCATGTCACAAGCTTTTCAATGGCTACCTACCAGCTAGAGAATAAAGTGCAAACTTCAAACTCACAGTATTCAAGGCCATTTAGTATTTGACCCGTCAACCCCCTCACTAAAACAGCTTTCTCTAGCTCTTCTCCACTGAAGCCTACCAGCATGGGACTACCTTCTACTTTCTGTGGTATTTCCTATCCCTTCCTAGCCCTGACTGGGAATGCTCTTCAACCACTCTTTCTGAAATTTTATTTATCATTCAAGGTGCTGATCAAATGTGTCCAGCTCCTTATCTCCCTAAATTCTCTCAGCTACAATTAAACACAAGGCACTCCCTTCCTTTTCTAGCATGACTCTAATAGGCTGAAAGTTATTTCTTCAAAAAAGGTAAACATCTCCCCTCTGATCTAAGTTCTGATTTAAAGGGCTGCAGAGATGAACCTAATCCTTTTCTTTTTTTTTTTTTTTAAAGATTTTATTTATTTATTTGAGAGAGAATGAGAGATAGAGAGCACGAGAGGGAAGAGGGTCAGAGGGAGAAGCAGACTCCCTGCTGAGCAGGGAGCCCGATGTGGGACTCGATCCCAGGACTCCAGGATCATGACCTGAGCCGAAGGCAGTCGCTTAACCAACTGAGCCACCCAGGTGCCCGAACCTAATCCTTTTCTATACAACAATCTTCCAAATATCTGAAGCTGCTCCTAAATCTTCTCTTCACAGGATAAATTTCCTCAAAATTCATAGCTAATAGTCATAGATACAATTTCAAGAAATTTTCATCTTCATAACTACTCCTGTCTGAACACTCTAGATTTTCAGTCATCTCTCCTAAAGTGTGGTATCCAGAGCCAAACACAATACTCCAAACTTTGTTTTTTGCAAATTATGCACGATATTCACCTTCCTTCCCAAATTTGGACATTCACAATGTCCATTAGGAAATTAACAACTCACAATAGTCTTTCAGTAATAAACTTGCTAGTTTTAACTGGGTGCAGATGTTTAATAAATGTGCAAAAGATAAAGATGAAAATAATAAAACAAGGTTCAAAGACGTTCTAGTCAGAATTAAGTATACAAGAATTTACCTTAGGAAGGGAACTCGTTTTGAAACATGAGATAAATGGAACCAGATGTATAAAAACTCAGAGATAGTATAAATAAAAAGGGTGCAATATCAAAGGAAATTTCTAGACAAAAGTTTATTTGGGGCATCTTTTACTAAGCAATCTTCCACAGAGCAAGCAAACTTTCAATAATAATATGTTAACATCTTTTTATTTAAAATGCCAACTAACACTATCTTCACAATCTTTTCATCCTGAGATGCCAATATGTTTTTTTTTTTCTCAAAAAAAAAAGTTAAAATTTCAACAATCAATCCTAAACCTAAATTCATCTGACTGGACAATACTCCAGAGATTTATTTTAAATTGTGTAAGTATCTTTGCTCTCATTAAATAATATCCTATATGGAAAGTATAGTAGTTCTTTAATGACTGACGCCACACTAATTGACTGAATTAAAAGAAAAAGTCATTTCCTCTAAAGAGTTCTTAAATACTCTTCAATGGTGGTGTTAAATCAACAATTCATTCAATTCAAAGAAAACTCAAGGAGACCTCTAAAAAAAACCATCTTTCATACCAAGGAAATAAAGTTAGATGACTCATTTTTGGAAAACTTGCATTAAAACAAACTAAAGATATTTCCCCAATATATAGTGGAAGGCTTAGGAAATGTGTAACAGTATTTACAGAACATAATATGTGTCTGTGCCACAGGCTTCAATTATCTAAGAACTGAGCAACACAGATATGTTATACAGCAGCATACAATGATTCTCCTACGTCATCAACAAAAGCCTCATTTTTCTCACAGCCAAGAGGACATGAATTCCAAATATCAAGCTGATAGAAGTATAAATTTATAATCACTTTGGAAAACAATTTGGTATTATAATAACGTTAAAGACCAACACATCCTTTGACTAACAAATTATGTTGTTTTAGAATACATGATTTTGTTAATTTAAATCTTTCTTCAATCATATTGTATTTTCATTGAAATAGTACAATGAAGTTGATCCAAAATTATTTTTTTTAATATTTTATTTATTTATCTGAGAGAGAGAGACACAGTGAGAGGCGAGAGGGAATACAAGTAGGGGGAGTGGGAGAGGGAGAAGCAGGCTTCCCACTGAGCAGGGAGCCCGATGTGGGGCTCAATCCCAGAACCCTGGGATCATGACCTGAGCTGAAGGCAGATGCTTAACGACTGAGCCACCCAGGCGCCTCGATCCCAAATTATTTTTAATGGTCAAAAGAGTTGAACAGATACTTTACCAAAGATCTAAGGTTGGCAAATAAGCACATAAAAAGATTCTCAACATTTTCAGTCATTAGGAAAATGAAAATCAAAACCACAATAAGACACCACTATACAACTAATAGAATGGGTAAAATAAAATAAAAACAACAACAAAAACCTGACAATACCAAGTGCTGGTGAGGATGTGTAACCAGAATTTTCTTAACATTGCTGGCAGGAATGCAAAATGATATAGCCAATCTGGAAAAGAGGGGGGTCGTCCTTATAAAGTTCTATACATGTGCGCACAACCCAGCAATCCACTCCTAGGTATTTACCCAAGTGAATGGATAAACTTCAGTAAACCCATAAATGAACTACTCCTTAGCAATAAAAAGGAATAACTACTGACACACAGATGAATCTTAACTGCATTACGGTGTGTGAAATACGTTTTATTTGAAAGACTACATCCTCCATAATTTCATTTATATGATATCTGGGAAAAGGCAAAATTTTAGGGACCTAAAACAGATCAGTGGTTGCCAACGCCTGGTTAATGAGCTAAGGTTCAATGAACTACTAAGGGGTAGAGGGAATTTTGGTAGTGATGGAACCATTCTGTATCTTGATTGTGTGATAGTTATGGGACTATGCATTTGTAAAAAATCATAAAAACATACACCAAAAGGATAAGTATTACTGTACCTAAATTATACTTCAATAACAAAAGCCAATAGACATTTTGCATATTTTTTAATGCTACTGACAACTTATGGAAAAGAAACATCTTTCCTTCTGGTTGCAATTTGTGAAGAAACACCATCAACATGCTAGGTTATTTGTGGACTTAAAAAAAAAAAAAAGACATATTCCCTACCCTGATAGAGTTTAGAAGCCCATTTAAATGGGAAACAAGTCTTAGATATTGTTACAGAAAAAGGCTGGGCAAAACAATTTTGAGAGATAAATCACTAAATACAATTTACATGTGCTCTAAGGAAGGAAGGAGTAATTCTCTTTGACTAGAACTACCGGAAATGAATGGATCACAATATTGGAAAGATTTTAGTGCTTCTCAGTAACTGCTATTATTAACATCTCTAACTTCCAAGTGAGGAGACTGATACTAGGGAGGACGAATATTTTGTCAGTTTTCCCTCGGTTACAAGGTGTTAGAGCTGAAATTCTAACCCAAGCCCTTCGGATGCCAAAGCCTGAGATCTTTTGCATCGCGATGATGGAGCGACATCGTAGAGGTTATAACGGCTGCTACGTGAGATTATTTCAACCGACAGGAACGCCCCCTAATTCCCCAAACTCCACTACTTTGCATGAATCCTAGGAAACACCACGATTGGAGCAATGATCTTAAAGTGAGCTCCACGGGGTTTTGGAGTACAAATTCGTGGGAAAGGTAACTTAAAACCTTGTGAGGACCCCTCTCCACAGTGTGCAGAGCCCTACTTTAGACAGCTAGACGAAAGTGACGCGTGTGGCCAGCGCCGGAGCTACTGAAAAGGTAAACACCAAGAAAGAGGAAAGCGGAGGCCCTCAAAATGCACTTCTTCCATTACAGAACGCCGGCCTGGTCGCCAGGAGGGCACAGGAGGAAAAAAGCTACTACCCTGCCCTCTTGAGGCCCTCTGGAAAAAGACCTCCGTGGACTTGTCCCTGTCTGTGTGGCCCAATGGCCAGGACCGGCGCCGGGGCGTCGTCTGCGGGTGGGCTCTCGATCCGGGGACGAGAGCTGCGTGTGTGGTGCAGTGCTCCCGCGGGTCGCGGCCGGTGGCATCTCACCGAGGTGCTGCAACCCACGGACGGCGGGCACACTGAGGCCGGGCCGCGGCGCCAAGGGCTCAGCTCAGAGTGAAGGGGCGGCAGGGTGAACGAATCTGGGCTGTACCCCCCAGGAGACATCACAGCCGTCGCGCGCTGTGTTAGTTTACGAGACGCGCTCACGTTCCCCTTATTTACTGACCGCGCAACCGTTGCGCGCTCGCTGTAATCTCACCTCTCCAGTTCTTGTACTCGGGGACATAGTAGTATTTGTTCCCAAACTGGTCTGCGCCTACTTGCTGCTTCGCTTCTTTTGACAGCGCTCTCCATAAGACGCGGAACAAATCCTGAGACCAACCCATGCCGTCCACCGGAATTTAAGCACGAATCCCTGCCAGATCCGCCACGACCGAAACACACCCGCTCTCCAGCCGCGGACCCCGCCCACCCATCCCATTCTCACGCCCTTCTAGTAACGGCGCTCACCATTGGCCGGATGGCACCTTGCTTGACCAATGGGAGACTCCACTGTTACAGTCCGGCCTCCGAGCTCTGTCATGGCGGCATCCAGTTTTCAGGCTGGTGTAAAGGAACGGGATGTTAGGGTTTTTATTAGCGAGACAAGCGGGTTTGGACGACCCTCTTCGCCTCCGGAGAGCGGAGTCCACACGGAGGTAACGAAAACCTTACTTTTTTCTCAAACAGGTCGTTTAAAATCTGAACCTGTTTCTGTGTTAGTCTTGCCTCCCACTTTCCCACCTCATTATCACTTCACTGCCACCAAACTAGACTTTTAATTTCTTCTGCTCTGTGCCTTACGGAAATAAGATGCCTTCTACATACCTGGAGGCTGGTGGGTGCGCACGCGGCTTCTGGGGAAGATACTTTCCTTTTATCTTATTCCTTTTTCTTCACATTACATTTCCTTCCCACTCCCCAAGGAATAACTACTCTCCAAGGATTCCTTCATTCGTGCAGTCGACATATTTACTGAGCTCCTACTGTTTGCCAAGGGTAGAGCATAGGCCAGGAATCGAACAAAGTTTACCATTACTAGAGCAGACAAGGGGGCCATTGACAAGAGATGAAGCTGGAGATGGAGTCTGGGGCTAGGTGAGAAAGAGCCTTGTGTGCTTGGTGAAGAGGTATGAAGATGAGAAGAAGGTGACAACTCTTGGATTTTGTCATCTGCTTGGAGAATGGATTGAAGTTGAGAGCAAGAGTGAGAGTCAAGTTAGGTAACTATTCCAGTTGTCCAGAAGAGAGTAGATGGAAGCCTGGGAAATGGTGGTTGGGTGGAAAAGAGTGAAGATATTTTTAAAAACATTTAAGAAATAGAATCAACCAGCTGTGTAAATTGGTTGAATATAGTGAATGATGAAAATAGAGGAGTCAACAATGATTCGCAGATATGTGCTTTGTATGTAGCAGAATGAATGTAACTTGACCATACGGACTTTTTCCATATTACTTTCTTTTCTTCTTTTTTCTTTTTTTAAGATTTTATCTACCCATTTGAAAGGGAGAGAGAGCAGGAGCGGGGTGGGGGGGAGGGCCAGGTGGAAAGGGACAAGCAGACTCCCCAGTGAGCAGGGAGCCCTACCCTGGGCTCGATCCCAGGACCCTGAGATCATGACCTGAGCCGAAGTCGGATTACTAAATTTATTCAGTCAATTACTGAGCCCCCGAGGTACCCCTTCCCATATTGCTTTCAAAGAACCTGTGAAGATTTTCACTTGGAGAGAGGAGGACAAAGTTGAATGTACATATTTGTTGCTCAGAAGAAATTGAGATATCTTTAACATGAGATGGTACTTGAAGTGAGGTGGAGATGAGATCATCCAGGCATTATTTGTAGAGTAAGAAAAGCATTTCAATGACCAAAAATCTGAGAAACATCAACATTTAAAGTTAGGCAGAAGAAGAGACTACAAATGAACCGTTGCAGCAAAACCAGGGCAATGAAGTGTCTCTTAAACTGAAAGAAGAGGAAGCCCTCATATGTGTCATTTGCTGGCCCTTGCCCCGTTATTTGCTGTCAGTGGTTCTCCCTCCCATTACTCTGCTTATCTATTCAATTTATTACTGCTGAAATTGTATTATATACATATTTTCTTATTAGTATATTGTCTTCTTAAATCCTGTGAGAAGAGAGACATGAGAGAAGGGGCCTAGAAGAGTTTCTGTTAAGTGAATGACATGCATTCAAGAAATATGAGGAATAAAGGAAGAATTAAAGTGTGCATTATATTTAACCAACAGGGTGATCACTGATGGCCTTGGGAAGAGCATTTTTAAGAGAATCATGGGAATAAAAGTAAGATTTCAGTGAGTTGGAGAATGACAGGAAAAGAAGTAGGAACCGCCAACACTGATGGCTTTTTAAAGAAACTTGAGAGAAAAGCAGAGTACAGTTGCTTATTGGAAAACTGATGGACATGATTTTTTTCTAATATCCCAAAAGAAGAACTCACCTGCTGCATTAGTTATCAGTGGGTGAGTAACAAAGTACCCCAAGCATCAGTTATCAGTGAGTGGGTAACAAAGTACCCCCCAAAACTTAGCAGCTTAAAGTAACAAAAGATTTATTATCTCACAAGTTCTAGGGGTCAGGAATCTGTGTGTCTTACTGGGTCTTCTGGCTCAAAGTCTCTCAGAAGGCTGCAGTGAAGATATTGGCTAGGACTATAGTCATTTCAAGACTTGACTCTGGAAGGATCCACTTCCAAGCTCACTCAAGACAGGATTTAATTCTTCCCTGACTTTGGTCTAGAGGTCTCCCTCAGTTCCAGTTATTTTTCACATAGGCCTCTCAAATCACAACATGACAGCTAGCTTCCATCAAAACAAGAAAGTAAGAGCAAGAAAGGGCAAGCAAGATGGGAGCCAGATTCCTTATAATCTGATCTCAGAAATGGCATCTCAGAAATTGCATCTACTGTTGGCCCTCTCTCCCCACCCCCAATCAGTGCAGAGTTGACAGTAATTCCTATTCAGCTCAGTGATCCACTCTAATAAAAGTATACAGACATATCCAGAGGTTTTTATTTCAATGATTTCGAAGACTCAAAATTTATGTTTATCAAAGTTGGTCAATCTCCGATAATTTAGCTTGTTTCCACTAAGTAGTTCTGCAATTCTTCCATTAGGATCAGCAAATTAAACATTGGAAAGTGAATGAACTTGACTGTTAGACCTTTAATTTTAGTAAAAATATCTGTACTTTTTTGAAAAAAGCATTTTTTCCTCTATGTTCAGAAGTCTTATCATATCAGTAATAATTTAAGTCATGTGAGCTACTGAGGGTCTAAAACACTGGGTTTCTGCAGAGTCTTTTAATCCCAAATAGTCCTCGGTCTGAGGAAGCAACTAAGTATCGCTCCTTGTTAAAATTCCATGACCTAAACTTCTTCATTAGAAGTAAAGTTTTGAAATAGTGAATGTCTCCTAAGAAGATCACCAGATTAATCCATCTGTGAATGGGTTTCATTTCCTGTGTACAACATGCTGGTTCCCCCAGCATACTTAACACTTGGGGCTAAAAAACCTATAATCTAGTAATCCCATGCACATCTCTCCCACCAGTTGCTTTATATGCTTATCAAAAATCAGTATTTGTCCCGAGTCCTGAGAATGCCAATTTTATTATTCTGATTACGTCATTTTAATAAGAATTAATGAAATACAAAATGAAAAAGAATTATTATTCTTATAAAAACTAAATGGACCACTTTTGAAATAATCCAAACAAATCACTTAAAATAAAATGCTGTTCAATGAGGTATGATTGAGAGAATCATACTATGAAAGACTGGAGGAAAATATTAAAAGAACAGTTTTTTTCAGCTTTGCCATAATATTAGAATCACATAGGGTGATTTGGAAAAAATACTTTGGAAAAAGTATTCATGTCAAAGTTCCAACCCCAGAGATTCTGGTTTAATTGGTCCAGGACACTGGGATTTCTTTAAAGCTCCGTAGGTGATTATAATGTATAGCCAGGATTGGCAACCATTGCTTGAGAAAGATTCCACATTCAATTGCTTTGCATGTCTGAGATTCCATATTCATTTGTTTGGCATATGCCTTAAATGTTTACTCAACTAAAATAAGTTAATGACTAAAACATATATTTTAATTTAAATTATTTATTGAGAGAGTACACACACAGACACACACACACACACACACTTGCAGGCAGGGGAGGGGCAGAGGGAGAGGGAAAGAATCTTAAGCAGGGTCTGTGCCCAGTGCAGAGCTTGATGCAGAGCTCAGTCTCATGACCCTGAGATCACGACCCAACTCAAAATCAAGAGTCGGACACTCAACCAAGTAAGTCACCCCAGCTCCCCAAATAAAACCTATTTTTGAAAATCATAGAATACATATAGTTACGGGTATGGTTTGTAAAAAAAAAAAAAAGGTGATGTGGCATTCTGTTCAGCACGTTTAACTCTACTTCAAACAATTGGCATATAAATATTTGGACAGTCCTTGCTTTCCATAGTATTATACATCTATAAAACTAATTGTGCCAGGCAAAATCTATGGCAAGTAATTTTAATAATCAGTGGATAGGGAACAATTACCATTGTTCTGTGATATTTAAAATTTCTTTGTCAAACAGTAAACTTTTACTGTCCATCCTAAATATACAAGAAATGAAAAAATAGGAAAGCAAATATTAATACACTGTAATATAAGACATTAGAAACAATGAGAGCTACAGTTATTTCTTTGTTTAAGGGGCACAGTCGTTGGGTGGCTCAGTCGTTGGGAGTCTGCCTTCCACTCAGGTCATGATCCCGGGGTCCTGGGATCGAGCCCCGCATCGGGTCCCCTGCTCAGCGGGAAGCCTGCTTCTCCCTCTTCCACTCCCCCTGCTTGTGTTCCCTCTCGCGCTGTGTCTCTCTCTGTCAAATAAATAAAATCTTAAAAAAAAAAAACTGAAATCAAGAGTAGTTTGAGTGGCACTGGTCTTCTCATTGTATAACTTCTAATGCAAGTTGAGTATCTCTTCTATATCTTGGCTAATTATCATTCTTTCTAAGTCCGAATCAGATTCCAACATTTTGTCCTTTGCATTTCAATGTCGTGAAATATGTCTCTGAGAGTTTTTTAATGTGAACGTTTTTGCCAGCGTCATTTCCTCCCAGACATCTTCAGCTTTCTCATCATGACCACTTTTCCTCATTTATTGGGATAAGTTCACTCACCTGCATTGATTTCCTCAGTCTTTCTCTAGAGATTCTCAAATGGCCACAAGTGTCAACATTTACACAATCAACTATTTCTCCTGTAACTACATTTACATTCCATTGGAGTTTTATTTCCAGCATTATCACTTAGCATATTTTTGGTGCACGTCCATGTTGTTGGTCAATTCCCTCTTTTAATTCTCCATTTTTCTAAAATTTCGTATGCTTTTATCTCAGAAGTACAGAACTTTGCAGGCTCTGTGTGAATTGAATGACAAATGTACAGTAACCAATCACCTGCAGACTTTGAAAGAAGTCATGTAAATTGGTCAGGAATTATGATGTGCATGTTATTTTTGTAGTGATTTGTGGACTGAAAAGCTAGTAGCCAACTTTGTGCTTTGTGCTACTAGACACAATTAATATACCATGGTAACTGAATTTTGAACCATATTGTTGGGGAGTCTGGTATTTAAATCATGGTAACTTGCATTCTGTGCTTAGTTTGCAAACTGTGCAAAGTGAGGATTGCTTATATATTTAAGTTGAAATAAAGTGTTTAAGGTAGTGTTTCTTCTTAAAGATTCCCCTCATTAAGTGATGTGTTTGCTTAACTAAACAACTACCCAGTCCTATTTTATTTAAAGAAGATGTCTACTCTAATTTACCCCAGGTTCTTCTTTGTCAATGATTAAGGGCAAAAGCGTGAACACGGATATGCAAAGTTTACAGTTCTTACCCCACTTTTTTTACAACTTTTTTGAGGTGTAATTGACATACAATAAAATGCACATTAAATTAGAGTAAACAGTTGGATGGGTTTTGACATACATATATGCTTTGAAACCATCACCATCAAAATAACTAATATCCATAAGCCAAAAATTTCATCCTAACTCTTTGTAATGCTTCTTTTCTTTCTTTCCCTGCTTCATGCTGTTTTACTCCAGGAAACCACTCCTCTGCTTACTGTCAGCATAGATTACTTGTACATTCCGGAATTTTATATAAATAAAATCATGCTTTGTCTGGCTCTTTTCATTCAGCATAATTTATTTTGAAGTTTCTCCTTTTGATTCTTTTTTACTGCTGAGGAATGTTCTATTCCTATTCTATGTGGCTATATCACAATTTATCCATTCACTTGTTGGTGGACATTTAAATGTTTCCAGTTTTGGGCAATTACATATAAAGCTGCTGTGAATGTTCATGTACGAGTCTTTGTGTGAATATATGCTTTTATTTCTCTTGGCTGCATGCCTAACAGTGGAATGACTAGAGCCTGTGTTTCACTTTTTAGAAACTGGTAGTTTTCTAGAAGCTTAACATTCCCACCATTGGTGGATGAGAATGATGCTTGCTCCACATTTTTGTTTCCCCTTTCCTGCTTTTTTGGGGGTTATTTGAACATTATTTAATATCCCATTTTAATTTATCTCTTGTGACATCTCGTTGTATGATTGTTTTTGGTGGTTGCTGTAGGAATGATAAAATACCCACTTTTCTTTCTCTGCTTAGAATCCATATTTTACTGCCTCATTTGACATATAGAAACTTCATCACTCTTTATCCTCCACCATATATGTTGTCTCGCATATTACATTTACATACATTGTAAACCCCATCAGATAATGTTAATACATTTTGTTTTCAGCTATCAAGCATACTTTAATTGTCAATTATATTTGCCTAGGTATTTATCATTTCTTTTGCTTTCTCTTCAATCCTGATATCCCAAGTTTTCTTATATCATTTCCCTTCTGTCTGAAGGACTTTATCTCTTCTTTTAGAGCATGAACCCAAATTTCTATATACTTAACATGTACCAAAATTCCAGACTCCCAGAAGGAAAGCAGGTATTCATCACAAAGCACCTTGTTGGCTCCACATAGTTTAGGCCCAGGGAACCATTCTTATCCAGGAGTGATTAGAACCCTCCTGCAATCCTACTGGGTATTTACCCCAAAGATACAAATGTAGGGATCCGAAGGAGTATGTGCACCCCGATGTTTATAGCAGCAATGTCCACAATAGCCAAACTGTGGAAAGAGCCAAGATGTCCATCGACAGATGAATGGATAAAGAAGATGTGGTGTATATATATACAATGGAATATTATGTAGCCATCAAAAGGAATGAGATCTTGCCATTTGCAATGACATGGATGGAACTGGAGGGTGTTATGCTGAGCAAAATGAGTCACTCAGAGAAAGACATGTATCATATGACCTCACTGATATGAGGAATTCTTAATCTCAGGAAACAAACTGAGGGTTGCTGGAGTGGTGGGGGGTGGGAGGGATGGGGTGGCTGGGTGATAGACATTGGGGGAGAGTATGTGCTATGGTGAGCTCTGTGAATTGTGCAAGACTGTTGAATCATAGATCTGTACCTCTGAAACAAATAATGCAATATATGTTAAGAAAAAAAAAAGATAGCAGGAGGGGAACAATGAAGGGGGCGGAAATCGGAGGGGGAGACGAACCATGAGAGATGATGGACTCTGAAAAACAAACTGAGGGTTCTAGAGGGGAGGGGGGTGGGAGGATGGGTTAGCCTGGTGATGGGTATTAAAGAGGGCACATTCTGCATGGAGCACTGGGTGTTATGCACAAACAATGAATCATGGAACACTACATCAAAAACTAATGATGTAATGTATGGTGATTGACATAACAATAAAAATAAAATAAAATAAACCCTCCTGCAATCACAGAAGCAGACAAAGGCCAATCTTGCAAGTAGGCTTTCTAAAGGACAGCAGTCTCTGGCATGCTATGTTAACTCTCTTTTGCACACCTTGCCTCCTTCCACAAACACCCTCCCCTGTTTACCCTCTTACTTTCCTTCATTTAACCCCTTTTAGTTCCCTAAAAATTCAGTCCTAAAGTCTTTAGGTTGGGCAGAAGTAGGCTTCCATACACAGGCTGGGATTAGATTGGTTTAGAGTGATATTGGAGACCCTGAGCAGGTTGAGGAGGTAGTCTGATTGTGGGGACTGACAAGCCCAGGTGATTAGGAGTATTAGGGGAGGCAGAAATCAAACCCCAAGCCTGGTGAGCAATTTTCTTGTTGGGGATGGAGATGGTATTGGTGATGGGAGATTGGTTATGTTCAGTGGCATTGATCAAATAAACATTCATGATAGTGGCAGCTACATTTCTCACTGTTCAGAGAAAGGAACTCAAGGAAGGGGTGATTACCTTTGTCCATATTTGTATATTTTACTGGTTACAAGAAGCACGGATTACTGTTATTATTTGAAAAATCATCAAATAGGGGCGCCTGGGTGCCTCAGTCAGTTAAGTGTCTGACTCTTGATTTTGGCTCATGTCAGGATCTCAGGGTTGTGAGATCCAGCCCTGCGTTGGGGCTTAAGATTCTGTCTCTCCTCCCTCTGCCCCCCCCCCCCCCCCCGCATGCTCTCTCTCTCTCTCTCTCTCTCAAAAAAATGAAGTAAAATAAAATAAAACTGAAAAATAGAAAAATATTTTAAGAAGAAATGGGAATTCACTGGAAAATGTGAACAATTATTTTCTGGTGAAATATTGGAGCTCAGAGATGGAAGAACAGCATAATGGTCTGGAGAGAAAGTGTCAGAGTTCAGATCCAAGTTCAAGCAATTATTAGATGTATGACCTAGGGCAAATTACTTATGTTTTAGTTTTATAATCAGGAAGAGCAGTTACTAATATAACCTACCATCTAGGAAATCCATCACTTCAGATTACCACTTATTACACTTTTTATTACCACTAATCACAGTGTCAGCAAATGGTAGGCTCTTAATGTTGGCTGTTACTGTTATTGATCAAGGTCAGAAAAGTAGTAAATGTTAGACTGGATATTTGAACCTAAGGCTAGACTGTTCCAGAAGACAAAAACCTGTGTATATCTTTAAATCAAACATTTGATAAGCTAAAATGATTACTAAAATGTTTATTATTATTAATACTGCTACTGTGAGGGGTGCCTGGGTGGCTCAGTTGGTTAAGCGACTGCCTTCGGCTCAGGTCATGATCCTGGAGTCCCGGGATCGAGTCCCGCATCGGGCTCCCTGCTCAGCGGGGAGTCTGCTTCTCCCTCTGATCCTCTTCCCTCTCGTGCTCTCTATCTCTCATTCTCTCTCTCTCAAATAAATAAATAAAATCTTTAAAAAAAAAATACTGCTACTGTGAGGACATAAAAGTATCAGTTTGTATTTTTTCTAGCACTGTGCATTGTTCCTTAAAAAATAAAACTGACAAATAGGCTAAAAATTATCATATAGATAGCATCATGTTGGTCAGTAATGAATTTAGAAATCATTCTAGTTAAATTAATGTAAATGTTCTCTAACATCCAACAGACCAAGACAAATTCTAATAGTTAACATTCACTGAGCACTTACTAGTCATTGTAATGAGCACTTTACATAATGATGGTTTACAGTTATGCAATATCAGAAATTTCATTCATCTTAATTTGTAAGAGTACTTGTTATTCATCTTTTTATAGATATTTAATTGGCTCTTAAAAAGTGTGCTTAATTGTTGAACATAGTCATTTTGTTTCTACCTAAAGCATAAGAAACACTTCAGGAAATTTTTTTTAAATACTGTAATTCAAGCTTTTGTCCACTAGGTGTCCTCAGTTGAGTTTAAGATACCAGAATTTAACTTTTTGTTCATTAAAATTTATTTCAGTCTCTAAATACCTTAATAAAAACTTAATGAAGTATCCCTTTAAATGAAGTTTAAGATAATGCTTTGGAGAAATTCTTTATATATAATTGTTAGTACTGTTGGCGTTTTTAAAATTCGTATAAGGTTTTTAAAAATCTATAAATACTTTTGAATGTGTGGTAGAAGATTTAAGCATTACTTGCAATTTTTGTACTACATGTAATTTTGGTGAAATAAGGATGTTTTTAATGTTTAAATTACTTTATCATTGTTTAGTTTTATCTTTCTTTTCCCCACTTTCCATTTTTATTTTTTTCAAGGGTTTTGGGACTGGAGTTAAACAAAGACAGAGATGTTGAAAGGATCCATGGCAATGGAATTAACACCCTTGACATTGAACCTATTGAAGCAAGATAGTAAGTTTATTACACTTAAACAGTCATTTTGTTGTTGTTCAAAGTGAGATGCAGTAAAATCTTGCTTTCAGGTTACTTATGTAAAGGTTCATAAAAAGTAGTGAAATTTCTAAATTGTAGCAGTTTAAGTCTGACATTACTAATTTAAATAAATACAAAACATCACACCCTTAAAATGTTTCCAGGTAAATATTTCCAAACTACTTTATATAAATATATTCATTGTAACAGACATTGAACTTCTTTGGATACAGAGGGCTTTTAAGTGCTTGGTGTGTGCTTTAGGTACCATTTTAAAACAGAGTTGCTACTCTGAAGGAGTCTAATGGGAAAACAAATAGAATATAAAAAGTGAAACTATATGTTGGAAAATTAAGCTTGAAGAAATCCAGACCTTTATTTGAGCTCCTTCTGGGCTTTATCACTTAGCAGCTAAGTGACCTTGAGCAATTGACCTAACCTTTTTAATTCTCAGTTGCCTTAGCTATATACAATGCTAACAATAACAGCTACCTAACAAGTTTGTTGTAATTTAATTGAGATTATATGTGTAACATGATTAGCATAGGACTTGGCATATCATTAATGGTTGCCTCCACTCCTCTTAATCAAAAATATTATCACCTATACTTTTACTCCTTTCAGTCCTTTCTCCATACAACAGCTGGAGTGCTTTGAAAAATGCAAATATTGGGGCTCCTGGGTGGCTCAGTCGTTAAGCGTCTGCCTTCAGCTCAGGTCATGATCCCAGGGCCCCACATCTGGCTCCCTGCTCAGCGGGAAGCCTGCTTCTCCCTCTCCCACTCCCCCTGCTTGTGTTCCTTCTCTCACTTTGTCTCTCTCTGTCAAATAAATAAAATCTTTAAAAAAAAGAAAAAGAAAAAAATGCAACTATGAACATGCCATCCCCCCACTTAAAACAACTTGATCCCATTATTACTTTTACAAGAAAGTTCAAAAAGCTTCATGTGGTCTGTAATTAGAACAAGTATAACAGTGACTGAAGTTTGTTGTATCATGTGTTTAGCATTGTCCCACAGTTTTTATATTATAATGAAGTGTTATTATTATTTACATTAAAATGAACCAAACAGGTTTGAAGAATTCTGGTTTTAATTTTCAGCCACTGTCATAGTCCCACCTAGTAGTATATGGGAAACATGTACAGTGAACATATTCTCACTTTAGCACATGGTTAAATCTAAAAGATGATCAGCGATAATTCTTTTCTTTGTTCTGAAGTTTTCCAGATGCAAACATAACACCTCCCATTCAAGATCAGCTGAGGGCCATTTGCTTATAAAATAATGACACAAACAGAAAGGGATAACTGATTTCTTTGGTCATGGGTGCTGGTGGAAAAGATATTCAGTACTGCTTCTCCAGCCAGCCATTTGGAATAGAGATCATTTGTCTAACTTGTGAAGTACATGAAGCCAGTAGGTTACCGGTTGTCAGAGTTAATGAGAAAGATGAGAAATCTGATTTCTCAGATTATATGTGCATAAAATATGTGTGAGAAATACAGGCTGAGGAGTCTTTTTGCAGAGCACATTGAGAAAAGTCAAGATTCTCACTATACTTCACTATAGTGAAATCTGTAACTATTTCATTTGTTTGCCAAGACTTGTATTTTGCATTAAATCCTTTTGGCAGCAAAGAGAGTAATAAAAAGCAAAATATATGTTTAATGGAAAATTAAATCTTGATGTTTTTCCTAAGAAAATCAGTGCACATATAATTTGCTCAAAATACTTTTTAATATTTACCAACCACCATGAGAGTTATAGTGATATCACTGAAAACCAGAAACCAGAATATACACATCTGGTAAAGAAGCATTTATTTCCAAAGTTAGGAGTTATTTTAAGAAGTCTCCCTGAAAATAATGTTTTAACAAGTGCAATTGCATAAGGTACATTTGCATATCATTCTTTGAAGCTTGAATTTTCTTTGATATCTTCTAAATTCTTCTAAGTTATTGTTGTTCATCTTTAGTACCAGGTTTTCTTGTCCATATAAAAACACGAAGTTATATCTCTTACTGTAATTACTCTATGAGCAGAATAATAACCTCACAGTTAAATAATGTCGTTGTCCACAGATCCTTCAAATATAGAATCATTTAATTCCAATAGTGGTTCAGTTGTTTCAACCAATTAATAGAATCCAAGGAAAGCTTTTGGAAATCATTCTAGCAAAGATGAATCATGTGACATTACTATAAATACAATTTAAATTCAGTTAAGCTGTTCACCTTTGAATATAATTTTTTGTTTTTGCATTGAGCATCCATGTGCCATGGTGAAAAAAAAAGTATTTCACAAAATTCAAATAGGAAGCAAAAATATTTTCAGAACTGGTTTTGGTATACATGTAACTCATAGTTGTGTCCAAATAAGCTGCAAAATTCTGTCAATGAAAATAAAAATTGTAGTTGTTAAAATTTATAAATATTTTCCTATATAAATACTTAAACGAAAGTTTTGTGGTGAACACTTTAGCATGGTATTACTTGCTGTCCTTTTTTACTACCTACCAATCAGATTTTTAGAACTGTTTCAGCAAAGAACTTTGAAGAATTACTTTTAAATAAACCTTATTGTTCTACAAATTGGTATTCAATTTTTCTTAAAACAAGTCTATAAATCAGTGCTACTTGCACATGCCACTGGTTCACGAACCCTTTGTAACTGGTTAACAAGATAAGGAGCTTATACCAGAATGTAAGTTTATTACATCACTAAGCACACAATTTATTTTTCATAACAAGACTTTCTTAGTGAAGATAGAATTGTGTTCATGTGTGGCACAGTCTCCTTATCTTGCACTTTAACAAGAAAACTAAAGAGGGTAATATAAAAAAATTAATGTATAACACTCAGAACGAGTATAGGTGATCAAATATCCCCACAACCCACAAAATATGGATGAGTGGGAACAAATCATCCATATTTACAAGATCTGTGTGGTATCAGCATCTATATCAGAAGAGACAGTGAAAAACCAGTGGAGCACCTAGTAGACCTGATAACTCCAAAATAACCAACCTTACTTGGAAGTTCAGCAAGCTAATTTGACTACAGGGGGTGACACGGAGAGGATGACCTCCTCCCAATGATTAGGGGCTTCACAGTAAGACTGGAAGGGGCTGGAGGAGTCTGGGCCCACTGATCTCTCCAGCTCATCAACTGAAGATCTCCTAAAGGGCAAAACTCTATAGTGAGGAGAAACTGCTCGGAATAGAATCCAAACTGAGCAGTATAGGGACAATAGAAACAAAGGGAAAAGATGGCCCAGATAAAAATTGAGGAGGTGAGCAGAACCAAGAAATCTCTGAAAGTGAGGTGCCATGTATTGAACATCTTATAAAAAAGGAAGAGGAAGATATTCTATAGATACAACATTTAAATATTATTCTAAACCAAGATTCCTTTCTAAAAGTTTAAGAAAATTAATTTCATACAAATATGAGCAAAATAATAGGATTAAAATCAAAGTCCATTCAAAATTAGTCTAAGAACAAAGAAACTAAGCAATGCCCCTTTAGACAGTGTAGCTGTGCCAGAAAGATATTCCTGTGAAATAGTTGAGAACTCTAACCTAATATTTTAAAACTAGCTAAAAGTCATTTTAAAAAGATACAAGAACTGAAAGAATCACCTAAGTTGGAATTAAGAAAACTCAGCAATGAGATGAAGAAACTCAAGAAAAAATTAGAAATAAAAGGCAGATGTTTCAGAAATGAAGACTAAAGCATAAGGAACACAAGCAAATGAATACAAGAGGTAATAGCTTGGAAATAGAAGGTAGAAGGAGGGTATTTTTAAAAATCAAGAAGAAACGGAGAAAGATAAAGAATTCAAGAGATGGGGACATATGTGGGAGATAGACAAAGAAGATCCAGCGTGCATTTAATAGGAGTTCCCAGAGAAGAAACCCAAAGGAAGAGAACAGAGTCAATATTAAAGGTATAATCCAAGAAAAATTTCCTAAAATAAATAAGATCTAAAACTAGATATAAGGGAAAGAAAATCTTGTTTTAACTAAACTGATTTGGGGCTTTATTCCCAAAGAAATGAAGTTTCTTATCTCAGATGTTCAGAGAAATAAAACATGACTCAAGGGTTATATATCCAGCCAGACTGATTTTCAAGTACAAAAGAACAGACAAATTGTCAAGAACATACAAGAATTCAGGGCCTGTTGCTCTCATTAGCCCTTTCTTAGGAATTTACCAAAGAGTAAAATCAGAGAACCAGAATGAGTAGAGCGACAGCTACATGAGGTTTGATTATGAACAATAAGATTAACAAATAGCAATTCTTCATTTAGATACATAAATTCATATATCTGTCTGTCTTTCCTGCTAGATTGTAGACTCTGGAAAGACAGAAACTATGCCTGTCTTGTGGACAGTTATATTAGCAGAGTGCCTAACGTATTTCAAGTGCACAAAGTTGAATAAAGTGAGTAAATGTGTTTTTAATGCTAAATCTAATATTTATTAGTCATTTTTTATGAGGCAGTATAAAACTCACTTGCATATAACTTTTATCTTTACGTCATCTTTATGACTTAGATGAAAATGTTCTCTTTTTCAGAAATGTTTGAAGGCTTAGAGAGGTGAAGTAACTTGCCCAGAGTCAGATAGCTAGCATCAGTAACAGCTGGTCTCACTGATTCCATTTTCATTTATCACAATTTTAATTAGGACATTAAGAATGACTTCATAATATTTTACTTTCTTAATTAAGATAGCTCTTGCCATCTTGTTTCTGTCCTTTTTGGAATTACAAAGGTGAACTTTAAATGGTCACAGATTGAAACTTTCTATATTCTACAAATACTAGGTTGAGGAATTTTACTTTATTAAAAATCTTTATTAATGAAGATTCACTCTGTATTTGTGGGCATAATACACTTGGGTGTTTGTGGATCAGTAATTCTCAGAAATATATAATAAATGAAGTACATAAAATGACAAATTAATGTGAACTTTTTTATTATTAGCATGTTATCAGGTGGTTCAGATGGTGTGATTGTACTTTATGATCTTGAGAACTCCAGCAGACAACCTTATTACACATGTAAAGCAGTGTGTTCCGTTGGCAGGTGTGTATTAAAAATGTAATTCATGAATTTATAAACATTTTAATACTTTTTACTTCAAATGCAAAACATGAAAATAGCAGTCATATGATTGTCTCAGGCAGATTGTTCAAATGTCACATTTCACATGGATATCCTTTGACATTTTCTTGAAAATAAAAAGTTTTGATTATGTCCTTTTTGTTGTATATCTACTTACCACACCACAGTAACTAATCATAGTTTTTAGTACCATTTAGCATATAATTTACTTATAAGTCTTTCAGCTAATTATAAACAAAAATTATATTTTTCAACTTATATTAATAGAAGAAAAAGATTAATGGCTAGAAGCAGTAAATATACTGGCAGTCCTTCACCATACAAACACATATACGCACCTACACACAACCATCTTATCTCTCTACTTACTCAAAGCTGCCTAACTTAACATATCTCTCTTTGTCTTAAGTCTCCTGACTATTCTTTACTGCCTCTCCAGTCTTGTGAGAATTATTCTTAAGTGTCTAGAAAGATGTTTTGTGACTGTTGTAATTTGTTCATAATGACTACTTAATTCTTCCTTGTCGCCTGTATCTGATCCAATATTGAGCATAGCTTTGAGTGAACAGGAAGAAAGGGTGATAGGAAAATGCTTTCAAGAGGAAAAATTTCATGAACATTAGTGTTAACAATCACTCTGTATTAAAGCTGTTCCCAAAGCACTAGAATAGGTACATAAGTCCATGGAGTATTTGGGAGGAGATTTGCGATTGTTTCTTGGCTCTGGTGCTTCACTTTGGAAATAAAGATTTGGGACACTCTTTCTCTGAACCTCAGATTATTTTGTTTTAGAGATAATTATACCTGTCCTGTCATTCTTGTAAGGTTTTTGTGAGTCTTAAATGAAATATTGTCTTTTAAAAAGCATGTTAAAAACCTAAGGCCACTCTGTAAAGCAATATAATTATAGGGACACTTAGTACACAAAGATAACACCTCAAATAGTCTGAAACTTGGTTTCTAAGAGGCTTACACCATTTTATACTCTCACTCCACTTGTACCAAAAAAAAAAACCCCTAAATTCTAAAGTGTAAGATAGTCATATTAATTCATTTAGTTCATTTTCTTCTTTTATCTTAGCTAGCATTTTAACATTGTTTAATTTGTTACATATCAAAATAGTATTTTCATATATACTACATGTTGTCTAATGTTATTCCTGAGGAACTGTGATTTACTTTTCTGGTAGTTAAAGTCAAGTAAATGCTTAGTGTATCAATCTTTTGCTTTACCATGACATTCTTCTTGGATTCCCTCTCTTTCTTTAAAAGCATAACTTTGAATGTAAATGGGCATACAGTGAGCATGTTTGCAAAATGAGTTAAAGTAGCATTTTTTATATCTGAAGACTTTATAATCTAACTTTACAAAATAATTTAACTAAAAATTTTTATTAAGTTAATATGGCTTAGAGTGTTTGCTGATACTTATTTTTGCTTTACTTAATGCATATGTTCTTAGGCACCAAAAAGATTCCCTTTCTGTACTCATTAAATGTGAATGAGAATAACAGGTCATACCTGGTAAGATAATAATATAATATTTTGTCCTATTCTTAAATTTAAATTTAAAATATAAATGAGATTTTATTTTTAATCACTACATTAAAGATTTGTTTTACTATAACTGAAAAATCTTGGTATACCTGAAGGTTCTTAGGAGCAAATAGAAATCAGTTCTCCTTATTTTAAGCAGAAATTTATTGGAAAGATAGTATCTCATATAAATGGCGGGAAGGTAAGGGAATAAAATGTGGAAAGGAGTGGAAGGTAAGAGAAACTAAGGCAAAGACAGCAGTTGGAGTCCACCACAGGAACTATTTAGTCTGGGTTCTGCTACATGTCACCAACACAGACTCTCAACTTCATGACTATGAATAATTTTTAAATATCCCTGAGTTTTGCATTACTAGCTGGAGTTTAAGAGTCCCAGGCAGGTTTGGGGAACCTTAAACCATATGTCCATGCCCTTACTGCCAAGGGAGAGGGAAAGACAATGGCTGGAGTCCCTAGCTTTCTGTAACAAGAAGCAATAAAATAAAGGAGATGTACCCCAAATAGGAGGAGTTTGGATCCAACTTAAAAAAAAAAGTTCCAAGTATCTACTCTACAACCAAAAAGGCAAGTATCCACTACACAACCCAGATGTAATCATCCCTTTCCCCAAAGGTGATAGATTCTCAGTCTGTTTAATTACCATATCCAGCTCCAGTTCAAGATAATGTCCATTTTTTCATTAGTTTTACATGATCTTTTATCAAATTATTCAACCTGTGGACTCAGTTTGTTGTTAACGCATATAAAATAATGGAGGCAAGAGAGAGGAAAGAAAAGGGAAATCAGTTAAAATATATAAATTATACATGACATAGAAAGGAATTATGGGTAGACACTATAGTCCTTTTTTGCAGCTCTGTCAGTGCCAGAACTAACACTTTAAGGCTTTACTTCATGTTCTCATTCATTCAAGTGCTTAAGGTACTTCATCCTGTATTGATCCAAACCTTCACCTTAAGGAATCAGAACTCATGATGGTCCTATCTGTGTAGGATTGCAATAATCTTCTGTTAACTTTTGTTTGTTTATTTTGTTATGGAAAATTTCCAGCATATACAAAAGAGGAGAGTAGTATAGTGAACTATGTACCCATCACACAGCTTCAGCAACTATCAGTCATACCAATCTTGTTTCATCTCTAACCCCACCCACCCACTGAGGATTATCCCAGGAGCATTTTATTTCATTCATTATTGTTTATATCTCTAAAAATAGAGACTTTATTATCTCACACAATAATTCCTCATATTAAATATCCACTTGGTGTTCAAATTTCCATCATTGTCTTATAAGGGTTAGTTAACAGCCAGTTTTTGTGAATTAAAATTTAGTAAAGTGACACATATACTGTATTTATCACTGGTTCAGAGCATATACTGCTTCCTTTAGGACAGCATGTCACCCTTACAAGGTAGTGTATTATAGCTGATATCATAACTTGAGTCTTCAACAGATCATGCTTCTACAGGTGATGGGTTACATAAGAGTGGTGCCTTGAACACCTACCAGTTAATTGCATTCTTTTGTCATTGAGTAAGTTCCTTGATCAGAAGCAATATTGCGTGGGATACCATGGAACTATGTGAGGCATTCAACAATTCTAAGAATGATAATACTGTTAAATGGTATTTGGGAAAAGCATATCCAAAACCAGAATGGGTATCTCTTCCAGTATGGAAAAATCACTGCCCCTCTCCATGAAGAGGTTCAGTGTAGCTGGCTACTTTCTCTAGGCTCAAATACAGAAATAGGAAGTCTCCCATTTAATAAGCCTTAGTAGGAAGCGGGCCTCCACATTACACTACAGAAGCCTGAAACTAGAAGTGCCTGGACATTGTCCTCTGGAGAGCTGGGATGCAGGCCTGTGATCTAGGTTTGGCCATTCATATTGTCCTACTTGAGACTGCTACTTGTTAATACAGTATCAGTATTGAAACTCACGTAAATCAAGTATTTCTAAATTTTGATCGCTGTTTTGTAGAAACCATCCTGATGTTCACAAATATAGTGTGGAGACTGTACAGTGGTATCCTCATGACACTGGCATGTTCACATCAAGTTCATTTGATAAAACTCTGAAAGTGTGGGATACAAATACATTACAAGTAAGTATGTTAAAACCTTTCCAAATAGCTCTAGAAGATGAAGGAGAATTGAACCCTAAATCATTTTATTTGCTAAGATGTTATGTATGTGGTGGTTGAGGAGAGCTAGACTGCTTGAGTCCACATCTTGGCTCTGCTGCTGACTAGCTCTGTGACATTAGGCAAGTGACTACACCTCTGTGTGTTTCAATTTCCTCACCTGTGAATGGGGATAGTGATTGTAACTTATAGAATGGTTGTAAATATGTTGACATATGTAAAATCCCTAGAACAGTGGTTAGCATATAGTAAGTGCTCAAAAAATATTAGTTATTATTATCATCTTAATTATTTCAAAATTATTGTCTATTGATCTAAGGAAGAAAATTGGATTTATCTTCTATTGACCTAAAGCCTTAAAGGAAAAGAAAGTTACTAATATTATTACTTAGTAAAGGTAGACACTAAATAATAAAGGTAGATAATAAAAGCGGCGCCTGGGTGGCTCAGTCGGTTAAGCATCTGCCTTCGGCTCAGGTCATGATCCCAGGGTCCTGGGATCGAGCCCTGCATCGGGCTCCCTGCTCAGTGGGAAGCCTGCTTCTCCCTCTCCCTCTGCCTGCTCCTCCACCTGCTTGTGCTCTCTCTCTGTGTCTCTCTGTCAAATAAATAAAATCTTTAGAAAAAAGATAGATAATAAAAAATAATTTTTATGATATTTGGTTACATTTATATTTCTAGTGCTAATCCTTTCCCTGAGCTCTAGTCCCATATGTCTCTACCTGTCTACTGAACCTCTCTTACTTGAATATAGGGTAATCTCCTCAAATATAACATGTTCCAAATTGAACATGATCACTCCTTACATCCACTTAGTCCTCAAATCTTAGCAATTCTTTCTTTAAACTCTCCCATATTTTCTTCTCTTTCTCTCACCAACACTATACATCTAGACTACTCCTAAAAATTCATAAGTGGTATTGCTGCATTACTTTGTTCCCATATTTTCCATGGTAAGTTCTACCCCAGAATTAACCTTATTATAAAGTGGTTTCACTGTGTCTCTACCCAAAACCTCTAGGGACTTGCATTGTCTAAATTCATCCTGGTGGTCAAAGTTCCCCCAACCCCAATCCCTACTCTCTCAACCTTAGCTTCTAACTCTTTTCCACCTAAATTATTTGCTGTCTCTAAATTGATCTCCTTTTGTCTTCTGATCACATCTTAATTGTATTATAGTCCCTTCCTCCAGTTCCTTTCCCTGTGCAACTTTTTTTGTCCCTTAATTGTCCAAATTTTGTACCCTTTAACCAACATCTCCACATTTTGTGTTTCCCTTCTCCCCCACCAATCCCTCATAACCACCACTTTATTCTGTTTCTATGAGTTTGACTTTTGTAGATTTCACATATAAGTGATGTACAATAATTATCACTCTCTGACTTATTTCACTTAGCATAATGCCCTTAAGGTCTATCTATGTTGTTGTAAATGGCAAGATACCCTTCTTTCTTGTGGCTGAATAATATTCCATTGTACAAAAATACCAAATCTTTGTCTCTTCATACACTCATGGACACTTAGGTTGTTTCCATGACTTGGCTATAATAAATATAAAATAAATATAATAAATAATGATGCAGTGAATATGGAGGTGAAGATATCTCTTTAAGGTAGTGACCTTGTTTCCCTTGGATATATATCCAGAGGTGGAGTTGCTGGATCATAAGGTAGTTCTGTTTTTAATTTTTTGAGAAACCTCCATACTGGTTTCCACAGTGGCTGTACCAATTCACATTCCCAGCAACAGTGCACAAGGGTTCTCTTTTCTCCATACCCTCACCAACACTTTTTATCTCTTGTCTTTTTGATAATAGCCATTCTAACAAGTGAGAGGTGACAGCTCACTGTAGTTCTGATTTGCATTTCCCTGATGATTAGTGATGTTGAGTACTTTCTCATGTACCTGTTGGCCATTTGTGTGTCTTCTTTGGAAAAATGCCTATTCACTTCCTCTGCCCATTTTTAAATTGGATAGTTAATGGTTTTTTGGCTATTGAATTGTATGAGTTCTGTATATATTTTGGATATTAACCCCGTATCAGACACATGATTTGCAAATTTTTTCTCCCATTCAGCATGTTGTCTTTTTATCTTGTTGATGGTTTCCTTTGCTGTGCAGAAGTTTTTAGTTTGATGTATAGTTCCACTTGTTTATTTTCCCTTTCTTGCCTTTGTTTTAGGTGTCAAATCCAAAAAATCATCACTCAGAGACTGGTAACAGGGAGCTTACTGCTTTTGTTTTCTTCTAGGAGTTTTATGGTTTTCCAGTCTTACATTCAAGTCTTTAATAGTTTTCAAGGACTTATTTGGAGCCCAACTCACGACCCTGAGATCAAGAGTTGGGCACTTGGGGTTCCTGGGTAGCTCAGTCAGTTGGGCGTCTGCCTTTGGCTCAGGTCATGATCTCGAGGTCCTGGGATCGAGCCCTGCATCGGACTCCCTGCTTAGTGGGGGGCCTACTTCTCCCTCTGCCTCTCCCCACTGTTCATGCTCTCTCTCTCTCTCTCTCTCAGATAAATAAATAAATCTTAAAAAAAAAAAAAAGAGTTGGCCACTTAACCAACTTAGCCACCCAGGCATTCCTCAAGTCTTTAACCTATTTTGTAATTTATTTTTGTATATGGTGTAAGAAAGTGATCCAGTTTCCTTCTTTTGCCTGTTGCTGTCTGATTTTCCTAATACTATTTCATGAAGAGACTATCCTTTCCCCATTATATTCTTGGCTCCTCGTCTAATTGACCATAATATGCTTGGGTTTATTTCTGGGCTCTCCTGTTCTGTTGATCAGTGTGTTTGTTTTTATTCCAATACCATATTGCTTTGATTACTGTTATTTTGTAAAATAGTTTGAAATCAAGAGGTATGATACTTAAAGCTTTTTTCTTCTTTCTCAAGTTTGCTTTAGCTATTTGGGATTGGTGTTCCATACAAATTTCAAGATTTTTTTTTTCTGCTTCTGTAAACATGCCATTGGAATTTTGATAGCACTTACACTGAATCTGCAGGTTGCTTTCGGTAGTATGGACATTTTAACAGTGTTAACACTTGCAATCTGTGAGCATGGAATATCCTTTCATTTATTTGTGTCTTCAATTTCTTTCATCAATATCTGATAGTTTACAGTATACATATCTTTTACCCACTTGGTTAAATTTATTTCTAGGTATTCTATTCCTTTTGATGCAGCTGTAAGTGGGATTATTTTCTTAATCTCTCTTTTGGTAATTCATTATTGGTGTATAGAAACAACAGATTTTTATATATTGATTTTATGTCTTTCAGCTTTATTGAATTTATTAGTTCAAAGAGGTGTTTGGGGGAGTCTTTGGGGTTTTCTATACATATTATCATGTCATCTGCAAATAGAGACAGTTCAAATTCTGCCTTTCCAGTTTTTATGCTTTTTTTCCTTGTTTCATTACCCTGGTTAGGACTTCTTTTTCTTTTTCTTTTTCTTTTTTTTAAGTTTTATTTATTTATTTTAGAGAGCGACAGAGAGAGCATGAGCAGGAGGGGCAGAGGGAGAGGATGGGAGAGAATCCTCAAGCATACTCCGCGCTGAGCGTGGACCCCGACGTGGGGCTCAATCTCATGACCCTGAGATTGTGACCTGAGCCAAAACCTAGAGTTGGAAGCTTAATTGCTGTGCCACCCAGGTGCCCCCTGGCTAGGACTTCTAATGCCAAGTTGAATAAAAGTGGTGAGGTATTGGCATCTTTGTCTTGTTCCTGATCTTAGAGGAAAAACCATCTTAGAGGAGAAACTTTAAGTTTCTTGTTGTTGAAGAAGAGATGAGATTAGCTTGTGGGCTTGTCACCTATCTGTGTGTGGTGTGTGTGTGTGTGTGTATTCTTTATTATGTTGAGATACTTTGCCTCTATATTTAGTCTGTCAAAAAATACATCATACTTTATAATAAAAGTCAACCTTCATTCCTGATTCTTCAAAAATTCTTAACATACTAGGAACAGCAGGGAAATTCCTTAATTTGGTAAGGACTATCTGTTTTTTAAAAGCACACCATTTTGTTTGTTGGTAAATTATTGAAAGCTTTCCCTTTGAGTTATCTCTATTATCCCCTCTGTTTAACATTATGTGGGAAGTCCTAGGCAGTACAATAAGGCAAAAAAAAGAAATGAAAGGAATTTAAACTGTCATTCACAGATGACATGATTGTGAGCATAGAAAATCCAAAAGAATCTCTAGCCAATCATTAAAATGAATATGAATAAACTTAGCAAAGTTGCTGGATATAAGGTCAGTTGCGTTTCTGAATTTTAGACACAACGAATTATGAATTTCCAAAGTAGTATCATTGACAATTGCATCAAAAATCATCGTATTCCTAGTAAGAAATTGAAAAGTATACAAGACCACTCAACACCACACAGAAAACTATAGAATATTAATGACACAAGATTTAAATGAATGGTGGGATATACCATATTCAGGAATTAGAAGGCTCAGTATTGTAAAGATACCAGTATAACTCAGAGTGATCTATAGAATCAGTGCATTTCTAATCAATATATTCACAGGATTCTTTTATGGAAGTGGACTAAGACTTACCATAAATTTAATTACACTAAATGGTGTGATATCAGTACAAGTGAAAAAAACAAACAGTGGAACAGGATAATCAGGAAACACACTGATAACATATGCCATCATTTGATTTATGACACAAGTAACACTGCAGTGCACTGGAGCAGTGATGGCCTTTTCCACAGATTGTGCTGGATCAACTAGGTATCCATATTAAAAAAAAAAAACCTAATCTTTACCCATACCCCACAACAGACAGAAAAGAAATCTACCAATTTCAGATAAATTATAGGTATAAAAATACAAAAGAAAACAATAAAACTTAAAGAAAAACAATGGAAAATATATTCATGGGTCAAGATAGGTAAAAACACAAAAGGTTTAAACGAAAAAGAGAAAGATTGATAAATTGA